GTTCGCACCTATCTGAATAAACATTCTAACTTTGTTAGTCAAAGAAAATCATTCCTTTTACTGCTGCGAGATAAGCTAATTAGAGAAGATGCGAGAAATGCAAGCAATCGGAATCTCTCGAGTTCGACCTTCTTTACATGCAAGATCTCTCAAAATAATACTGAAAGACTGAACTGGAGCAGAATGGGCTCAAAATACTCACACATATTCCTTACACAGCGTTGACTTAGTACGTGCAGTGGTGAACTCAAGTTCGCCTACACCGACGAAAATAGAATTTTTTGCTTTCTTTTCCTGTGATTAGTCACTTTATCATCGTGATTTGAGGAAGCAGCTGAACTTCAATCAACAAAATTGGTTCCATGTTCAACGACCATCTGCCATCTAGCTGGAAACTTCTAAATTCATTTCTACAGGAGCAGTGAAGAGATGCAGAAAAAAATTCATCAAGAAAGTGCCTCACATCCTCACAGACCAATCACAAAAAAAAAGAGCAAGAATTCCACTTCTGTTGGTTTTAGCGAAAGAGAGTCTGCCACTGCACGTAGCAATTCATCACAGGGTAGGAATCTGAACAGATTTTGCGGCTCCATTCCGTTTTTTCGATATTTTCTACTTGCTTAAAAATGCCAAATTTGAGTTATGCTTTTTGATTGCTTGTATCTCTCGCATTTTCTCTTACAAGGGAGGTGTTTTCGATCGAAGTGGCCTTTTCAAATGAAATTGATACGACTATAAAGAGCATCAAACGCTGATTCCAAATCTGTCTTCATTATCTGCCGAGCGCCTCTAGACGTCGAGTTATGAATATTTTCTTGGTGCGAAAAGTGAACGCATAATCTAAGTAAAATAAAATATTACGGTCTTCTCAGCGCTCAAATAGAGCAGTGTTAAGTATGAATGCTTCGGATGAAAAAATTTGTTTAAATAAAGTGCTTTGATAATCAACATTGGACCATTTGAGCAATTCTGACGAATATTGTCCTAAATATGCATTTAATTTCTCAACTCAAAAAACGCTCATAACTCGACGTCTAGGGGCGCTCGGCAGATAACGAAGACAGATTTGGAATCAGCGTTTGATGCTCTTTATAGTCGTATCAATTCCATTTGAAAAGGCCACTTCGACCGAAAACACCTCCCTTGTTAGTAGCTTACACTAGAGTGATGATTGGAAAGAAAATGATTTTTTCTATCCAAAGAAGTTAGATGCATTTCGAAAACCCTGATATAGCAAGAAGATATGATTTTTTTTTGGAAAAGGTGCTAACGAACTTTAGGTTCAGCCTAAAGTGGGTTTTATTCGGACTCACTGTAAACTGTTTTTAAATTTTGCTCACTTTATTGATGTATCCTAATTTTTGATACGTTCGCTTGAATACGGCATTCACCGTAAAAAACAAGAATTCCGAAGATATTAATTGCGTTTTTCGTTGATGCGTGCATTAATGGCAAAAACTTCTCCTTAAATTTCGGCCTGTCATAAATGCAGCAGCTACGACTATACATATGAAAGTGTTCACACATTTTGCTTTCTCGCTTTTAGGAAGGATCAACTTAAGCTGGCGATTGAAAACGATATGTTGTGTTACTGAACGCGTCTTTAGAAGCTGATTCCAAATCTGCTTTTCTTTTTTGCGCAACAACTCTCCGGAAACAGCTATGACCGTTAGAATGTCCACACGTGTCAAACTGCAAGAATCATAATGTTAGCGAAATGCCAGCAAAAACACCTGAAGGCGGGTAGACATTTTTGTGTCAAGCATATTGACTACAAGGAAGGGATGCAGTGGAAATCGGCATAGGTGTTTTTGTAAAGCTTTTTTCAATTCTATGCCTCTCAAAGCTTTAGAAATTTGGAGATTCAAACGCTCATAACAACGCTAATAACTTCTTCTAAAGAGTTGTTCAGCAAAAAAGGAAAAGCAGATCTGGGTTCAAAGACGCGTCCAGTAATATATATTTATCAATTTTCGCCAAATTAAGTTGGTATCCTTGCCCTGTTGTATAGATATGTATGTTCCATTGATGATTCACACCTTTAAGGCAACAATGTGATTTGCTCCAACCCCTCCTCCTACGTGGGAATGGCCTCTTGAGATTTCTTGATACAGATTTCGATACACTGATTTCGAGAATTAGTGCCTAAACTTCGATCTAATCTCTTTGTAGTTCTGCAGTGAGATGCTTAAGTATTCAATTAGTATGGCTTTGTAAGAGATATTTCCGGCTCAAAATTAGTCCATTCAAATGAGTCTTTCAATGAGTGCAACCTACCATGACAACTAATTCACTGCTACTCAATTAAGTGATATCGACATTTGCATCAATTTGTCATGCTCTTTTCCCAATGGAGGAAATCCTCTTGACCTTGCAAAAGAAGTACGTCTGAGGTACGTATATAATGTCACATACAGCATACTGTAACGCATGTCATTTTCTCTCTCTCGAGACGAAGGTCGAATTGTTTGCTACTTCGCTTGTACAACATGCTTTGCTCATAAAAATTGTAATTCCTTCTGGAGATTCTGTGCAAAAGCAACTTACTTTTGCAGGAAGGCTATTTTCCATGCAACGCTTGTGAACTCTAATTATCGTAATAACTGTTTGCTTAAGGATAGTGTTTGATGTATAGTCGAAGAATCTCTTTCATAACATATGTAGTCAGAAGCTTTGTTTTGAGTAATAATTTCAGAAGAGAAAAATGTCTACAATTACCTTTGCTTCATAGATGCTGTAAACAAACAAAGATCATTTGAAGTATCTTCTTCATCTGGAATTGCTGAGACTGCTTTTACTGCCAGTTCCTACTTTCGTTCTTTGACATTAGTTTTTGAATCGTATGGAAACGTTCGCTTTCCTAAAGCATAGACTTTTTGCTTCAAGAATTCATAGTTCCAGGGATAAAAAGATATTTTCTGTACAGCTGAAATCCGTTGAAGTGTCATTCAGAAATACATAACCTATTGAAAATTCTTATTTTATATACCTACTATGAATCTTGATCTTCAGCTTAGCGCTTTATATCACGTCAAAATTTTCCGCTTCTTAGCCTTTTTCGTGCGGTGAGATTAGTGCATTGTCTAAACACTAAATATTCTTGAAAAAATTCCCAGCATCTTACGACTGGTTCACAGCAAGCCTGAGTTTAGCTGGTATCAAAAGAACCACATAAGTTTGAAGTACGATAAAGTTTTCAGCTGATTTTCTGCTCCTATATTTGAGTCTTAAAGATCGCAAGCATTGATTTTGATTCAATGATTCTCAAGCAAATTGTTGTCAGAAAGCAAAATCACTAAAATTGACCTGGAGATTTCTCTTAGGAAGACTATATGGAGAAATTTGTAGAGAAAGCGTAACCAACGCATACTTAACACATAATAATAGCCAGACTTTATAACGAAGCGGTGCCGCGAAAAAGTTCAAGGAGGAACCAAAGCAAGACAATTTCTGAATGCACATTTTAATTGTTAGAAAAGTCAATCGCTGTCCCAGTTGACAACATTGTAAAGCTGTATCGATATACTTACAGTAGTAATGGTACCCAACTTATAGGCACCGTCTATCTACTCAAAGTGGGGGGGGGGGGAGGGTGACGAGATTATGATGGCATGTGGGGCCCCACACTAGGCAAACTCCAAGTTGCATCGCAAAAATTTGCTTCCGGAGCGCTCCGGAAGGGACGTATTTGGAAATGATCACTCTACCCAGGTGTTTACCTCCCACTGCAGTTTTCCCTCTCCCGCGCTTGTTGCAGCGGGTTCTCCGAAATGGGGATTTTTGGGGGGTCTCACTGACTCTCTAATCCATATTCGAAATCAGGGACTTCACCTGAAAGCGACAAAAACATGGAAGTCGAGAATATGGGTAGAAGGTACCTCTAACAGTTTTGATTGTGCTCTTTATAGTAGAATCATTTTCTTTGAAGAACATTAATCTCTCTATTTCATTCAAAGAATGGCTTCATGACAGACATGTATGTAATCACAAAAAATATGGTCTGAGTGAATGTAGCTTGTAAGGTCACGTGGAAATGTCGGTGTTATGTAACATATCTGTATAGTTAAAGTACAAAGCATTTCTGTGAATATGTTCCCTGTGCAGGAGGTCATAGAATCCAAAGTCTGTGCACTGTCCTTATACTTTTAGGAAGCTGTACAGTAAACGTCCTCAACAAGCCTACTATGTTCGCCATCACGAATCATTGCACGCCTTTGTTAAGAAAAACGAGAGAAGCCGTTAATATTTCAGGTTTCTTTGAAGTATGCTTTTTGAATGAGAAGAAGCAAAAAACCATGTTTCTTCATATATGAAGGTCTCTCTTTGAATTGTTTCTCTCACAGGAGGCTTGTAATCTCTTTCCCATACCAATGATCTACAGACAACATTTCTGATTATGCGCCTGGGATAGACCAAGCATCTGCCGCGTCATAAACGACAAGTACTTTTTAATCTCAGAATTTTGTTCGTGAACGAGAGAAGACGTTGTTGACTTTACACTACAATCTCTTCGAAAGCAAACGGTTAATCCCAAGAATGAATTGATATATCGTTGTTGCACCTTATGAAAACTTTAGTTTGGGATGGTTGGTGCACGATGTAATGCCGTATCTATTTTTGATTGTGGATTAGCCTCTAGAAAATAAAGAAAAAATGAAGAACAAGTGCTTTGTTTTTGTCAAGTAATAAAGTTTTGGAAGAAAGCGCAAGAATTTGTGCTAAGCAAAAAAAACTACCTTGCAAGGACTAGCTAATGGTACTTATCGCCAGTCGAACGGCAAGCTCTCCCTCTAAGATTATGTTACAATCTTTGATATCTAGCAATTTGAGAGTCTATAAACAAAGAGTCTTAATAGGAACTGACTCTTCAGCCTACCTCGCAGCACATCGCCTTGTTTAAATAATTTTGTATCTTTCTAACAATTTGGCTTCCTTCATTTCTACGCTTTGAAATACTGCCGTGTTTCTCATAAGTATAAGCAATTTTTATTTATTTCAGAATGTACTTTTCTGCCAACGATACTATTTATTGTTCTATTCTAGCTGTATTGACCCTATTTGGTATCGCAGCCAACTTGCTCCTCCTGTATATGATCATATGCAGAAGTCCTCAACACCTTTCCCCGTATCGGATATTCTTGGGTAACACAGCTCTTACACAGCTTTTGTTATCAGCGAGCCTATTAATTACATCACCCAGGTTAGCACTTATAAATATTGGTAAGATTGCTGCATGGTAGTTCACATACCTCGTTTACATATGTACACTTGAAGTATCCAGTTTAGTTGGAGGCAGTAGTCTTCAATCTTCAGTGCGTTCTACTAATATTAGCATTATGATGGCGATGTCACTCACCTTCCAAGAATATTAGACGTCAAACTTGGAGATACTAAATACTAGCATAGCATGTACGACAAATTTTGAGAGAAGGCTGTAAAGAGATTTCAGCAGAAATCACGACAAATGTTTATCTAGTGTTCATTACAAATATGTTTACAACCATTGGAAAAACTCAAAAAGTCGTAGAAAATTGTGCAGTGAAAGCAGCATCTGCGAAAACCTTTCTTTACATTTCTCAAATTTTTTGAGAAAATTAAGAGACGACCTCTTCTACAATGGCACTATATAATGAAAGTTCTTACCGTAATTCTATAGTAATAAAGAGCTATCGCTGCTTCGCTCTATATGAGTCTAAGTTGAACCTCGCTCTACGCAACGGTGCCTAAAGTTCGCCGAAAGAATCAAAACAGAAGAGCTATGAACGATCAAACAGTGTGCACATTTTTTTGGGACACTGTGCAGAGTGTCCAAAAGTATGTGTACACTATTTGGTCGTTGATATCTCTTTTCCCAAGAAGTATTTTGCCTAAATTCAGGAACCATTTTGTAGAACTGGCTTCATAAGGAAAGCTACCTAACTTAGCTCGTCCTTTTGGTAAAGGGCATACATATATTTTGAATCAACTTCAAACGCTAATTCCAAGTATGCTATTCCTAGCTGCAGAAATCCAATACTGGTTCTCACACAAACAAAAGTCTTCTTTACAATTAAATGCGGTGATATGGCCCAACTTTGGTGTACACGTGCGCGTAAGGGGACTTCAACTTATGGTTAAGAATTGAAGAAGAATTAGGTAAATAAAGGTGTGCTTCACTTTTTTCAGAATTAGCCGGAACCGTTCCACCTGGATGCTAGTTGAAGTGGAACCGACTCTTTGCTCGCATAAATTTTTACACTTTTTTCTCCAAAAAATATCTTCATTGTATAATTTTCAGCAAAACATGGTTTCATGATCTTTTTTCGAAGCTTTTTTATAGACCTCAGAGGATTTTCGTTGGGCTCTGTCCCATTGCTAAGCGTTTTCCTATACAAACCGACAAGCAAATTCTTTATTTCCGCTAAGCCATGTCCTTTAGGTTTATCCTTTCTCTCCTTTTTCGGTGTTTTCTTTTCCTTCGTTTGCCTCATCCACAAAGAGGGTTGGGGAGAGCGAGGGGCGGGTAGGGAGAGAGAGAAGAGAAGTAGAGGGTGAGGTAGGAGAGAAAGGTTTTTTCGCTTTTTTGTTTTCTTCTTGCCTTTTATTTTTGTTATACCTCAGTTTCACCCAAAATGAAAGACAAAAAGAAGTGAAGAGGAGTGAGGGGGCCGAAAAAGGAGTCTAAAGAGTCATTCTAGAATCTCTTTGCTTCCAGCTGGTGCCGAGCCCTGCTCTTGATGCATATCTGACTAAAAATTACCATAGCCATAGTGGGGCTTTTTGAATGCACGCTTGATTCATCGAATGGATAAATCGTTGAATTTTGCAAAGTAGGAGAATCAGTTCGTATCTTCGCTTGCCGTCTTTTCTAATCAACACTGTTCATTTCTCAAATGAAAATGAACCAATTTATTGACAATGCGATAGTCATTGATAATAATAGTTAAGGATATTCCCTCAAGGCTATTATATTGTAAACATTTATCTTGGTCCGGTGCAATTGTTAACACCATGGTGCTGCTATATGCTGTACATAACAATGTGTGAGTTCGGTTGTAATAAGTACACTGCGACTTTAATGCTTTATTTTAGTGCATCTCGCCGTAAATTCCTTTGTGTCTTTGATGGTTTCAATGATCTATCGCTGCATATCACTACGGAATGCTGTTATAACCTCGTGCATAGCTTTGCAGATGTGTTTCGCTGGTTACCTTATTCCATTCTCTATGGTGGTGAGTGAGCAAGAATTGTACAGTGTTCAATGTTTGACACGTTGACTACAATACGCATATTTGATTGTCTGATTTATGGGACAATGCCTTCCACGAATAAGTCGAAGATTTCTTGCTAAAATCATGCAGATTGTCATCTACAGTAAAACTAAAGCAATTCTAACAAGGAGAGGATACTTAATCGAAAGCACCAATCCAGATGAGACATATATCATCTTAAAGCGCTTGAAACGCTGATTCCAAATCTGCAGTTTCTAGCTGCGGAGCGGTTTTGTAGAAGGAGTTATGAAGGGTGTGTCCTCTGAGGTTTAGGCGCCCTCCAGCGGTCTCCCCTCATCTGTAAGCACTGTAGGGGAGTATCAGCTGATGGCAACTGACCTAGTGGTAAGTAACTTGAATGAAGATTACAGTAAGGTTTATAGTACTCATATAACCTTGGTTTTTTTTAACACTTCTAACTTCGATTAGCATCAATGTCATCAGAAGTTTCATGCTTTAGGGCTCTAAAGCCATTTAGAAGTTCAATTTAGCATGCGAAGGGGATTAAAACCTTAACACTCTCTTTACCAAGCACGTCACTTACCACTAGGTCAGTTGCCACCAGTTGGTACTCCTCTACAGTGCTCATAGATAGGGGGAGACCTGGTGGAGGGCGCCTCAACCCCAGAGGAAACACCCCTCATAACTCCCTCTACAAAACCGTTCCGCAGCTAGAAACTGCAGATTTGGAATCAGCGCTTCAAGCGCTTTAAGATGATGTATGTCTCATCTGAATTGGTGCTTTCGACTAAGTATCCTCTCCTTGTAAGAGGCAAGCAACAAACACGAACGTAGTCTCTAGAATGGAGTCTAAGGGGAGTTATGAAAACGATTATACCGCAAAATCAAAAACTTTTAGCAAGAATTGAGCCATTGCCCATCATGTGGGTTACATTGCCCCACGTGGCAGTTACTTCAGCAGGTGTTAACACATTGATGACACCTGCTGAAGTTTGGTGTATTAGGCTGCTGCGTAAGTTCTGTCCGATTTGAATTTTTGAGTTCAAAATGTCATAACTTCTTTCAAAGTCAATTTTTTCCCAAATTAGTTTCCATGTGTTGCGCAGTTAATTTGCTATCAAATGCATATCGAAGACCTGCAAAAATTCCTGAAAAGGAAGAAGCAAGAGCTCAAAAACCTCGCAGCGTTTTTCTTCAAACCTGTCTTTTATTTGACATGGCAATGCTCCCTTATGAGAATTGATAAGCAACTTATCTAACAGTGGATAAATAGAGAAATTTTCGTAGATTATTTTGCAACATAAAGGAGCCCATAGGGTCTGCGTTGCCGAGAGATTTTTTTGGCCGAGCAAAAAAGGAGCCACTGTTTGACTCGCTTCAGCGCATGTGTGCATGCTTATTTACGAATTATGAAAATTTTACAATTGACGTGAGCGGCCGGAAAGGAATTAGTGGATGGGCCCTGCTAGCTCTTGCTTTACCCTAACACCTCCAACTTTAAACTCATCGATTACTTCTATTTGCAGAAAGTTATTGCTTGTAAAACATCTATACAAAAAATTAATGTTCGACAATAAATTTTGCTAGCAAGACGTTTTCTTCAAGGAACTGAGCTTCTGCATATACTAGCCTTCCACACCCTTATTCCGCAATCAATGAAAGAATTTGACTTGAAGGGCGCATAGTGGAGATTTCCTCGCAAGAACATATTTCTTGGGTGAAAACTTACCTAGGCCACTTAGAGATTTTAGGCCTAAAATCTCCTTACACTAAGAAATTTATTAAGTTTTGATATGCGTGTACATCTAGAAGAATTCAACTCATTTCACCATAAATGCTCGAGTTTTTCTCACTATAGAAGCCGTTCTAATAGGGGACAACATTTGGACCAAAATCGCATTTTGAGAGAAAAATTCAAGATTATTTATCTAAGTAAAGTTTCTCAGTAATGGAGACGAAAGAAAATGCAAATCATGATGGGCGTTCCTTACATAACGATAAGTCAGCTTCAGTCTATCTTAAGTCAGGGAAATGATGAGCTGATGCTGCCAGTTTTTTTTTCACGAAAAGTGGACAAATGAGTTACGTAGGGTTGAAGGATCTCATCCATTTTTTCCGTTCCTTTGTGACACCTGAAAACATTCACTGAAATTTCATTGTATTGCTTTACTCCTGTCTATTTCTGGCAGCTTTGAAAGGGCCATCTGAAAAGTCTAGTTTACGAAATATGTCGGCGGAATGCGGACCTCATTATGTGGCAACAGAAATTACCGTCATTTTCTGAGTTATACCTCGTCTTAAATGTCAAAATATCTTTGTGATCAGATATGATATTGCAAAACGATCTTTTACCTCTTTGAGGAATTTAAATGAGACATACCATGTGTTCACAGATTATGTTGACAATTGTAATTTGAAAATTGTGACTTCGTAGATGAACAGCAGCTACAGCGGTAAAAAGAAGATCAGAACCGACTTGCTATTTGCTCTCTTCTGGCTCGACTCATCGCTCTTTACAGCTGTTCCTTGTTCGTACATGCCGCCTTAGGCTTTCATTCTTAAGTTAGTTTTTTTGCGAGTGGATTTCCTAACTTTTTCAAATTCTAATGATAATGGCATTATCACCCTTGCAACTCCTCTCTTCCATACTGCTAACATAACAGACAATGTTTGGTTTGTAACGCGACTTGACACTATGATCACATTCTCTCTCTAATAAAATTAAAAGAGCAAACAGTGAATTGCTTGATAAGTTTGATAATGCTGTTTGATAATCTCGAGCATGTTTTTCCCCGATTTTCAAAAGTAAACCATACCACATGTGCTGAGTTGCAAGCACCGCATGCGCACAGCATTTGCGATTCCTATCATTAAAGTAGATGACCATTTGTAAGCTTAAACAGAAAACCTTACACTACTCGAATGCTAATCGTGCAATGAGCGTGTCATCATCTGATGTTTACCCTACATAGTTAAGACAAGAACTCCAAACAAAGTAAATGTTTAGCAAGAGGAAAGAGCATGAATATGGAAAGGGAGCGTTCAAATGCTAAGCAAAATAGCTTCGCTAATTGCTATTTCCGCCCGCATGCAACGCACGCGTGCTGCCTCATTTCGCGGTTCCTGCGACTGATGGTAGGTGATATAGCCTATATGTAACTGCCATCGTTTGAGTACTTGCTGAAAGAGATGATGCAGATGGGTGCAGAAGAATTTTAACAATTTACAAGTTTTAAAAATAAAAGCCTGTGTATCTGTAGATGAGTAGCTACAACAAAGTGGATAGCATCCTTGAAACCTTGTCCTTGCTGTCGGAAAATGTATACGCCTTGACAATGAGCGTTTATATCACAAGCGATGTGCTTTGATTCTTTTCTTTTTGACAAAGTCGTATCGCTCTTTAAATCGGTCATGTGAGAAATGGCGCCAAAATTTCATAATAGTCTTTTTAGATCTGTTCAAAATTCAAAATACAAATTTTTCGGTAATACATGTGTCGACAAGTTGTAGATAAAACCTTGACAAGCAATTCTAACAAGGGAAGGATACTTGGTCGAAGGGGAGTTTCCATATGAAATATGTACCTATTATAGTGCATGAAACGCTAATTCCAAGTCTGCTTTCGATATCTACAAAATGCCTTTGTCATGGAAATTTTCTCAAACAAAAATTCATGCGCGCGCCTGCGATAAAATCATCCGAAAGCGTAGTCTGGAAGCTCAGATTGAGTTATGATTAATGCGAAGGCGCTTTATGCAATCAATATTTCAGCTTAATAAACTTATGCCAGTTATTACTCCTTCAAAGCTCGGAAAAAGCTTCAATACTTGTTTTTACCTTACAAGGAAAGGAAGGTTGGTCGAAGTGGCCTTTTGAAATGGTATGTATACTGTCTTGTAGAGCATGGAACGCTGATTCCAAATCTACCATTGCTATCTGCCGCGGGCTTCTGGGCGACGAGTTATGAAGGTTTTTGTGATCAAAAATCTGCATGCAAGAGTGGGCTAAAATCAGTCGTAATATTTTTTATAGGGCTTAATTGGTAGTCGGGTCATTCCGTGCAACAAATATTCTTGATATAAGTATACCACTTCGCTGCTGCCTCATTTGAACATCGGGAAAAGGTTACGATTGATTTTACCCTATTTTTGCATTCAGATTTTTACTCACAAAAACCTTCATGACTCGTCGCCCAGAAGGCCGCAGCAGATAGCAAAGGTAGAGTTGGAATCAGCGTTCCAACCTCTACAAGGCAGTATACCGCATTTCAAAAGGCCACTTCGACCAACCTTCCTTCCCTTGTTAGACAAATCCTTGAATTTTTCCAAAAAATTCTCGTAACTCCCTCCCAAAAGCGCTTTGCAGATAACGAAAGCAAATTTGGAGTCAGTGCTCTATAAGACACCCTACATTTCATATGGAAATACCCCTTCGATCAAGTATCCTTTACTTATAATACGCCTTCCTAACATCTCGAAAATTTAGCGCTCTTCCCACTAAGCAGTGGTGCGGCGATAATGTGATGAAAGTAAGAGTTTATTAGAAAAAGCCTGCGGAAGACCAGTAAAATTGTACTGCTTGGTGTTTTAGTCCGAAGTTAAGAAGCAGAATTGCAGTGCCTGATTTTCTTCTAAAGAAATCTTACGTTTTCTTTTGTTAAGTCACGGAATGATTGACCGAGTTTAGGCATCATGTGTGAGCATGGAATATTCTGCCGATAAATCACAAGCCGCCGAGCTTACGCATCATTTGATAGCAAATATAGAAAAATATGCGGTTGTGGTTGCTGCGAGAATTCTCCAGGTACTATGAGCGAGGTACTTTATGTTGCTTCATAAATACTATTGAAAACCCTTTTCAGCCTTGCGTTATATGGAATATAATTTGTTGTTCAATTTTTCTTCTTCCTGTGTATGCTACGATGTATTTATGCCGATGGAAAATCCTTAATTATCTTAATAAAGTGAATTATGTCCAGTCCTCACATAATAAGCTCAACATCAAACGATTCGTAAAGGTCTCTTTCTATTTCAATATTCTTCAAGCTCAAAATGTTATTTTCTATGAATTTTCAGGCCCTTACGATTCAGTCCTTGGTGCCAACTTTGTCAATTTTTCCGCCTGCTATAGCTTACTTGTTGATACAGTTCGGCACTTTACAACCCCATTTAATCAGTTATTTTATTGCACCTTGTCTGAGTATAGGTGAGCTGTTTTTTATTTTTTTCGCTAAGTGTAAGTTATGGTTCGCATCTCAAAAAATTATCAATATGCGAGAAAAAGTGAATCTGTGAATCTGTTATTAGCCTTTTGTTATTAATTACTAACTGTACTAGCTACTAGCCACTGCTGGTAGTATTTTACTAATCAAAGGCTCCTCGCCTTCCACACCTCCCACCTTCACCTTCTTCATCAGTAAAGTTGGTAAATTACAAACATGAAAACGTCTTGATAACCTTCATATAAGTACAATTTACTATTTGTATCAATCTTTGAAAGATAATTTTTTATCTTTGTCGAGAAGCATGGGAAAACCTCAGATGGAACAAAAATCAGAGGAGAGTACGCTTGGTACGTTAAAATCTAATCTGCTGATCTGATGATCAGTTCGTGATCAGTATTGTGCAGTGAGGCTCGGTAGAGAACGTTTGGCATGTTTTGATCTAAATTAGTAATCTGATGATTAGTATTGTGAATAATATTGTGCAACTGAGGCCAGAATTGGATAATTTAAGAATAACTGAAAGAATAATAGAATTGGATTAGTTAAGAATAATGCTCAAATTCAGGGCCTGTACTCGACCCACTGATTACCATATACTACGTATCGCCGTACAGACATTTAGTGGAGTCATTATTCTTTGTTCACTCCGATGCATCAGGATCAAATCAGTCAGGATCTCAAATGATGCCATCTCGATCTCAATCGCTCAAACCGGCAATGTTTTCAATCAAACAAGTAGTTTGACTTGTGATTGAAATCGCTTGGATAAAACATGGTTTGCTTGCATAGCATGCCACTTGTACTTTGATGAACTCTGTGTAATAGATTTCAGTAATTTCTGCTATTAGAAATCATAAGTTACATCTGGAAATTTGTTTTAAGCTAGCCTGATTTCACGCTATAAGACGCACCTTTTTGGTTTTTCAAGCGTGCCGCTCAGCCGCCTCGCTGTGTTTCGAAAAACGGGAATTATGCTGCACGATACTCTCAGGCATACAATACCGCTCACAGAATGTGCAAAATTTCCCTGAATATCGCAAAATTCCGAAAATTCCGCGAAATTCCCGAAATTTCGCGAAACGTCGCATTCTGGAAAGTTCACGGAATTTTCGGAATTTCGCGACATTCACGGAAATTTTGCAAGTTATGTGAATGGTATTATAGAATGCAAGAAGATGCCAAACGATTGTTACAAGAGCGCAACGATACCAGTGTGGAAGAACAAGGGGGATATAACAGACTGCTCTACATACAATACCGCTCATAATTCGTCAAAAAAGTCGCCGGACTGCGGTGGAGTGCGCTAGAGTGCGTCGGAGTGTGGCGGACTGCGGCGGAGTGCGCTAGAGTGCGTCGGAGTGTGGCGGACTGCGGCGGAGTGCGCTAGAGTGCGTCGGAGTGTGGCGGAGTGCGGCGGAGTGCGGCGGAGTGCGCAAGGAAATACACATACAAAACCGCTCACAGAATGTGCAAAATTTCCGTAAATGTCGCGATATTCCGAAAATGTCGCGAAATTCCGAAAATTCCGCGAACTTTCCGGAATTTCGCGAAGTTTCGCGAAATTCCAGGAATTTCGCGGAATTTTGGGAATTTCGCGGTATTCACGGAAATTTTGCATACTTTGTGAGCGGTATTGTATGTGGCACTGTATATAGTTTTTAGCTCGCGAAGTCCTTCTGGGTTGTTTGAATTTAGAAAAAAAACCCCCTGCGTCCTACAGCGTGAAATTATGGCAATAGTGGCAGATTATATACGTTGTTGTCCTCACATGGTTGTTGATTCCACAAGGTTGATGATGAGTAAAAGCTGTAAACTTCGCACTGCCAGTGCGTTTAGCAGGATTATCAAAACAGCTCGAGTAAATACACATTCGAAGTGTAGCGTTTGGCCAAGGGGATAATTCGACTAATTCATGGAGAAACACAAAATAAAGAGAACAGCTCTAGAAGTACCAAAATGTCTTAGAATGATTTATAGGTATTATTTTAGAGAGTTCGAAATCTTCTGAGTGTATTAGGTTGTCCGGAAAATAATGTCGCATCGTGTTTTAACATGCGATATCGCAGCAGGGTGCGCACGAAAGCAAGTGGGGTATTAACCGATAGATCGGAGCAAGCTCTACAAAATGAATCTTGAAACTTCGCGCCAGGTTTGATTTGCCTGAAGTTTGGGGCCAAATTTCATAAGGCACAAAAGATCTAAAAAAAACTAAAAAAACGTATCTCCGTTCAGAAAGATCCTAGGAGCCTCTAACTTGCTCACGCATGGATCCACTATATGAGACACTCGTATGCACATTTTCGCGGTTTTTCCATGGCTGAAAATTGGGAAAACGAAACTCGGCATATTTTCGCCAAAACAATTCTGAGCTTATTTCACATGAGTAATTCTGTAGTATGAACCTTAGGTTTTGGACAAGCACTAGTCTTCGAGAAAAGTCAAATTGTTTGTAAAAAAACCCGAAAAACGCGACATGTTCGCAGTTTTGACCTATTTTTATTTCTCGTACTGTAGCCATGGAAAAATACCACAAACTATACAGGTGAATGTCCAGTGTAGAGAGTACATGCCTGTGCAAATTGGAGATGCATAAGACGTCTATGAACGGAGATACTATTTTTCGGATAACTAGAACTTTTTATATTTTGGATTCGAACTTCAGGTGGAGCACGATTTCCGCGGAGATTTGTAGACTATCTTGTAGAGCTTGCTTTGCTCTTTCAAATGATTCCCCATTCGCTGTTTTTTGTGATCATTCTGTCGCGGAAGGATGCCAAGCGACATTATTTTCCGGACAACTCAATATTTAGAATTCTAACGTCACTTCAATAGATAAATCGAAATTTCTCTTGATTCTGCACACGTCCAGAATGCAGACGTGGTGTCTGGGGTCTGTTCTTCCTGCTTTTTCATTTAATCAGATTTTGTGATAAGAAACTGGACCATTCTTAATGATGTTTCACTCATTCTTTGTCTATTGACAAAAAATAGTGGTAATTTGTTACACTCAATTTATAAAAATTCTCCTATTTGAAAACATTTAGAAATCAGTCCGTCAAGTTCAGCAACATAATTGACTATAATAATGTAATATGCTGGCGGCATCACGGCATATTTGCTCAAAGCCATTCAAAAACTTACCAATCATCAGCTAAAGGGTTGCAAATACCAAAGATACCTAACGTCAACTGCGTTATATTTTAAGTCAAGACATATACAGTAATTAATTATTTTCCTATTCCTTCCACAAAAAAATCAGCGTCTGCGGAGGATTACCAATTTCTGTAGAAAAATTCACCAACCTCTTTTTACTGCGGTAACACCGAAGCAGTATATACTGGTGGCGCTGTATATACAGCGCCACCTAAAAGTGTAGTAACATTTACAGGCCCAGAATTTACTGCCTCATGAGCGCTTATGCTGACACAGATAGGTGTAACCTAGGAAGGTGAACTTTGATGAATACCACTACCTTGAGGTAAGTTGTGCAAGATACCAATTCAAGGTCAATTCTTCTCTTGTGTGGTCCCTTCTATTCATCATTATAGCTGGGGGGGGTGGGGGAGGAGCATGGAAAAGATTTTTCCGGTGGACTTATTCTGCTCTTTAGAAAGCTAATTTTTTGTACTATTAGGTTGTAAAGAAAGTTCTCGGGCACTTTTGGAAATTTCGTGTTCAAACGCATTTTTTCGGCGCTCGGTTGGAATTTGACACCAAGTTTTTTATTCTGTTCAGTGAAGGCAAGCCCAAAGTTTTCAACACGGCCTCTGATTGTTATCGATGCCAAGACGTGTTTGATCTGCACATCAAAAAGATAAATCTTTCCAATCATAAAAATTTCGCGATTTTTCTTCCCACGACCAATTTTTTGTGCAGTTCAAAGAATTTCGTCCAAATTATGGCTGATCTGATTGAGAAGCCTGTTGATTTCTGACCCGCAGCTGCACTCGAGTTTTGCGACTTGCGCTTAGAAATTACAAGTGGTCGAACTTGCCTCTGACTGCAACTCTTTTCGCAGCTGACGTTGCTTCTGCAGGGATCGCCGCGCTTGAGTGATGGATCCAAAAGATGTGTAAGACATTACCTAAACAATGTTCGCAGTAATCAAAGATCTGGTCCGACCTGTGCAGAACTAGAAGACCTCAAAGTAACTTAGGCAAAAAATGGTGCATTTTTGGTGGCAAACAATGGTCGATTTTTCAAGCTTTTTGTAAAAAAATATCGTGCAGGTGGCCCCTTGAAGACATGAATGGCCCTCATAACAGCCCGAGCAGACTTCTATATAACTACAACATCTGGGGTCTTCAGCTATTATCCTGCCTAAGATAATCCTGCCCAAATAGGCCACTTTTCACACAGACCTTTCTCCTTCTGTGCATTCTAGTGGACAGCTATGAGGTGCTGAAAGGCCAGCACGCAAACATATGTTGTTTGTAGCTCTGAAAAAGGATCAATGTGCTCGAAGTTACATCGATTTGAAAAAAAATTCGCAAGTGCCCCGGAACTTTCTTTACAACCTAATACATTATACCGTCTTACAATAAATGCGTCAGTGGTCTTGTAAAGACATGCTTGCAAACAGCAATCTCATTAAAACAACCAATAACCATTATTTACTGACATTAGAACGGCAAGATATTTTCACACGTTTTCGTGTCACAGAAATGACAAGAGAAGGTAAAACGCTTGATCTTTCTTATATACAGGGTGTCCCAAAAAGATGTGCACACTGTTTAATCGTCAATAACTCCCTAGCTTTTAGGTCTTTCACCAAGCGTGAGGTACCGTTCTGTAGAGCGAGGTTCAACTTAGATTTGTAGTATGGAGAGAACTACCAATTGCTCTTCGTTACTGTAGGATTACGGTAGGAATTTCGAGGAGGATTTTGAGCCATTAAAAGCGGTATATTGCTTTAAAAAAACCCAAACAGGCTAGAAACTTTTTAATGGGTTAATCGAAGTCGCTAAGTCTAAATATGAAAATTGCACTTCAGTACAGTGCTTCTTCCATAAGTTATTTCAGATTTAGGGTGACAACTGTTTTTCCAATATTCGTCAAAAATGTGAATACGTCATCAAGAAAGCTCGAAAAACTGGTGGAAAGCTATGTGGTGAAATCAGCACGCCTTAAAACCTTGCTGCACAAATTTTTAGAATTTTTAGAAGTTATTTCATCGAAAAGCCTATTTCACAGTGACGCTGTATGCTGAAAGTTCATACCGTAATCCTACAGTAATGAAGAGTGACTGATGATTCGTCCCATACTAGAAATCTAAGTTGAACCTCGCTCTACAGAATGATACCTTAAACTCGGCAAAAGACATGAAAGCAAGGGAGTTATTAACGATCAAACAGTGTGCACATCTTTTTGGGACACTCTGTACAACGGAAAGCATTCGAAAGTAATCGAGTCCGAACTGAAAAGTCAATTTCAGAAGTTTTGTAAGATTAAGCGTGTATGCCATAAAGTGCCTTTTTTTTATGGCTTTAAGGCTTCAAAGCTATGGCGTAATTGATAGAGAAATATTCTGTCTTCTACTTTGATAGCTAGCAAGTGACTAAATTTGCAAATATTATAGTTTACTTATGTCCGCTTCTGGCGGACTCTTTGAATCCAGGTTTACTGGCTTCGGCAGGCTTCTTAGTTGATAAATATAGTAATAATAACTATTATTAACAATGGGAAGTTAACTTTTGCACTGTAGATCGGTTAATAAAAGTAGCCTGAAAACTTACAGATCTTTTTACAAATTCTTCCTCTGACTTAAGTGGTATTGACTAAGATTTCTCAACTTGTCTCCAAAAAACACCGCTCGGTCTGCAAGTGCAGAAATGACTATTATTTCGGATTATATGAAACATCAGTCTTCAACTTCTTTTAGGTGTCCAGGCAAATGTTCTCACACCCCATTCAAATATCTCGAATTGTGCTCCATAATTACCTGACTTGAGATAAATCACGGTTTTATTTAAGCAAACAGGGCAGGATTGCTGGAAAAAGTTTCGTAATGTCATAACAAACATTTTTTATCACTTTCGTGCTGAATGTTCTCCGCTCAAACGAGTGCACCACATTGCACACTATTTACGAACAGACAGATTTGCAAAACGTTGAACACGAACCAACTTTCCAATTAAGAAGTTTCGGAATAGCTGAGCAAACAATTCGTGAATAAGTTGGACTTCTTGTTGCATCGTAGCCCATTTCCCGTGACTGCCAGATGTACACCTTATCAATGCCTGAAATATTTTTGAGTTCTTGCATGCAATTGATCAAAACTTTTTAACTGTATGGTAAGTTATCAACGTGATCAATGAATGACCTCTAGAATCAGGTAGAGTCGCATGCGATTTGGTTGCCCGGCGCGGATATGTACGGTCTCAAGATTCTCTTGTTCTGCTCGAGGCTTTGAACAGTTAAAGTCTAGAGGCGGTTTGGTATAACGCAAATAGATTTAGATCAGACTGCTAAGGATGTTTAGAGCCAGAAACTCACAAAATCCGGGCATCAGCTAGTTATTAAATTCCCAACATAAAGGATATTCGTTCTTTGGCCTCGGACAGGTCATACGCATTAAAGAAATTAAAACCTTCTCAAAAGATGACAATACCCAAGCCGATAGCAACAACACCCTGCGACATTGTAGGAAATGTCAAAAGGTATAAAGCAGCAAGCTTGTAAAACTCTCTGAAAGTACATTAGTATTGATTATCGAATGTCAACACTGCAGATTGCAAAACTAGCAATGTAATTCTATTGTAATCCGGATACTGAAACAGAACAGTAGTGAGCACTCGTAAAACCAACGCTGAAATCTGACTATAATGCATCTTTTATAAGGCTTTTCTGATCTGCTATTGGATATGGAGTTTTTCACTGATGACTTGAACAGTGAGTTCCTCACAGCTTTTGAGTTCAGGATAAAAATTGAAACTATTTTGGAGTTTGGATGTTGGAGAATGAGCCATAAAAATAAGCAGTGATCATTTCAACGATTATCGTGTGAACTGCACCATTTTTTGGACCTGTGAAGAAGACTGATAGTATAATTCCACTGCTATAAAGAAAAATCAGTATAAAACAACAGTAACACAAAAACAATTGTATAAGTTGAAGATTGTCTTGAGAATTTCAGTCGCGTTTGAGCCTAAGCATCAATTTTGCTACCAGAGTTAAATAAATCTCGTTTTGCTAATTAGCAGTAATTAAGTCAGATTTATCTCGTTTCGAAATAGAATTTCGACTAAATTTGAGCATAAATACTCTCGCCGGAAGTTTCAAAGCAGGCTAATTGAATTTATCGATATTGTATCTCGTTCAACACCTTGCATTATTACTTCCAGTGTGACATCATGCGTAAATTCTGTGATTTGAGATAAAACGTTTAGTTAGCTCCGCAACACCTTCAGGACGACAATGTGATAAAAATGACTCATGCGCCTTCATTTGTTTGCTTGTGCATATTTTTGTGGCACAAAGATGCTCCAGTGCTTACATGATAAAAAACATAATAGTTGCAAAATTTGAATCATTCCATTCTGAAACAAAAATGGATGTCATTGAGAGACAATTAAAATAGAAAGTTAGGTCAGAGTTAGGTTAAAATCAGAAGTCAGAAAAGAGAGATTAGAGAATTAAAATGAGATAGTCATAAATCAAACAGCTGAAATCGAATCAGTGACTGGAGCCTGTCAAAGTCATTGCGACTCTGCTACAAATAAAGGGCATACTTCAATGTTAGATTGCAACTTGGGTTTGGCCCTGGAAACATCCCTCTATAAAGATCTCTGTAAGAATCAATTTTATCAAGCAGCTTTGGAAAGATTTTGGCTTTAGAGCCGCAACGATGGTTCTTCTCATTTTGCGTCTGCAGCAACTCATTAACAAGTATCATCGCATCCGAGTGATACAAAACTACCTCATCTACTGCTCGATACGGAGCAGAGACTTTAGCAATGTTTGGGATGGGTATTGATAGCAAAAAAAGCTGGTAAACATAAGATTGTCCTAGATGCACAGCGACCAAAGGGCTCTCGAAAAAGATTGCATCTAAAGCGAAGCATCAAAATTGTTTATTTATTTCTCAGGTCTGACTCGAAATCCACTTTCAGCACAAGCTTTCAGCGAGCTTATCGACATGACCTACTGCAGTTCTCAAGTGAACTGACATTTGCATTGACTCTGGTAGCCATCCTTTCGCCTTCAATCTTAATGCTCACCTCTTTTCTATCAAAAGAATGCACCCAACATTTTCTGTGCTTTGCAAGATGATTAGAGATCGCATTGTATCTTCACTCAAAGACACGGACAGATCAGCGCGCGAGGCTCGAGAGGCTCGTCAAGCACCTCGTACAGAAAACAGTCCTATACACAGCAAACTTTCAAGAGCCTAATTTGTTGCCTTCTATTTATGATAATATCTGAGTTCAAATACATTTGAGTATCCATGGTACAGCGCAGCGCTTTCGCTCCATATGAATCTTAAGCTTCAGCAAATCACAAATTTCTGGTGGATCTTTATGCAAGCAAACCAAGAAATGAGATGTAGCTTGTAAAGTGGTTGTCATCTATTTCAATTTTGAAGAATGCTTCTATGTAATTTGTCCGTCCTATGGTATTAGTGACGACAAAACCCTCTTTTGTGGCAAGTTCTTTTGCTAGTCTTTTGCAACTGAATACATAAGCACCTATAATGTTCTTAAAGCACTCAAAAAAGTAACTTTGACATAAAATATTCTGCACATTTTGCACTAAAATGCTTCAGATGGAAAATAGCTTCTTTTGCACACTTTGGACTAAAATGCCTCGAATGGAAAATAGCTGGCTGTGTATGGTTTGATACACCGAATGAAAAGAAGTATGAAAAGAGGCTGAAGTTGGGAGGCGGGATGGGGTGACCGTATCTTAAATTCACAGCTTGCCCTGTGCATAATAATACATCAATTTGAAAACGCATGAAAACATGTAGAACGTACTTGTAATTCCGAAAATTCTCATTTTTGTCGCAGACGCAAATTGTTTCTGCTTATCTGAGAGAGAAAAACAAATACTCGATAATTATTGTGAAGCGAATTCAGAATGTCTTTAAGGAAACATCAACCTTCTGAAGCAACCCTAAGAAAACTAATCCTTTGTACTTTGAGAATGGAAGGCATCATGTCTTGTCTCTGTCTGTGAGCACAAGAAATAGCAAATTTGTTCTCCACAACTTGCTTTTGACAACTTTGATCATTGGTCGAAGTATAGCCACAATATATCCCTCAAGAAAAGTGCAGTGGCCACTTTCTTGAATTTCCTTGGATATAAGCGTCTGTTCTGTAATTTTTAAAAATAAATCAAAGGTCCAGGACACATTTGATTGATGTCCTCACAAACAACGGCTGCTGTTGAAATGACAACAACTCTTCCTGTACTGCATGGTGCACTTCGATGTTTATAACGTTATTGATGTGCACCTGCCTTCCTACCCTGTCTGCATTCTCGGTCTTTCAACAGACTTTATTGCATGGTATCTACAAGTTTCTGCCGCAGTACCGGTGAGTCACACAATAATCTTTTTAGTAAATTTTCAGAGTTGAATGGTTTTTTCTAAAGAAGATATAGGAATAAGAGTTCGAAAGTTGTAGGGCGCTGAACTGCTTGCTCCAAGTTCACAATTCAGCAGAATAAATTGGGTAATCAAAGCGCTTGGACAATGTGCAGCAACCAAAAAAAGAGTAGGCTTCGTCCTGTAGATGAAGTAAGAACTGCTTTTGCTTAGAAATCTTTTTTAATGTTATTGCACTTCACGCTACTAAATTCATGGGGCAAGGATCAAACCTTTGACAAAGCAATGCGTTTGCTATTTGAGCACCAAATCACTACTTAGAGAGCTTTCAACTGATATGATTTCTTTGCAAATCTAATTTTGTGTTGCGTACGCGACGAAATTTGTTTAGCTGTTAACCTAATAGAAAAGCACTGTCACCGTCGCATCGATGTAATCTATTTATTTTGACAATCGATTCTATCTGTTCAACTTGACACACTCATAGTAACTTCATTCGCGCATCAAAATGAAAGTACATTATTTTGAATGAGTACTGAGCATTTTCTTCATTCCTCTACATTCTAAATGCTCGACTTGGCTTACCGATCAGCCTTTCTTGATTGATTTCACCTCATTCTTGCTCACACTAATTAATGGCTTATCATTGCATCTATTCGTAGCGAATCTAAATGAATGTGGGACGCAGCATTGCACTATGCACACTCAACCTGACACTATCGCTTGTGTTTATTTAACAAATGTGAACTTTTTACAAAGCTTTTCGATTGAGTGTTTTTTGTAGCTGCTTATAAAACCTGAATCATATAAAAAAATTCTAGCTTATTCCAGCAGCCATCACGAAAACCACTTTGCGGATAGGCTATAGCCTTAACCACATCGGGCGGTACAAAAGCCAGCTTAGCAATGGAAGGATAGAAGATTCGCTATATTCTCACAGCACAAACAAAGGTAGGGTAGCATACAAATGTATTTGTACTTAATGTTTAGGGTTGTTTCAAAAAATCCTCTTCCTAAATCTGACATCTATTCATAGCAACTCTCAAAATTCATCGTATGAGTAATGGATTGTGTCACAATCAACAAATTCTAGCACTAATGAACGCACTTGAATGTACAGCAACGGCGAGGAAAACGTCTGAGTCCGAGATCGCTAAACATCGTAAACCATAACTTAACATGTATTGCAATGAAAAAGTGTGACACTGCTGGAGTCAAGCTGAGCTAATTTTAGATCTTTGGTAATTCATGTCCACCAAAAAAATCTGCAAAAAATTTCACCTCATTTGCACTCTCTCTTTAAAGCGTGAAAACGAGTTGCTGAATTTCTTTCCGTCTGGAAAATGAGAGTTTCGGTTCCCATGTTAAATGTTTTCTTAGTGAAGATTATGCATGGATTTTGATTACGTTGCGCTGACGATTTTTAAGCGCATTATGAAGACTACAAAAAGGCTATATTTGTGCCAAGAATCTGAGTTCAAAATTTTTTTCGATAATTTCAGCTAGTTGGGAAATTTGCGGCAAGATTGTCCAAACATTACACAATTTTTTGCACAAAAATATAATTTCACATGTGTTTTGTTATTCTTCCGAGGTATGAGAACGAGAACCTTCCTATAAAGAAAGAGATGCAAATGGTGCAAGCAAAATTTATCAAACGTTTTCTACTGAAACTGTGTCTTTGAGTATAGACATCTTTTATATCACCCCAATGCTTTGGTATCATCATTCTCCATTCTTTTTGTTTTAGCTTTGCGCTATGGCAAACGCTCGCAAGTCCCATCAGGATTTGGCACAACGTTTGCTGAACATCACCATTACTGGAGCAGTGCCTATGGCAACAATACATGTTACGGGTATTCCAGTTTTCTAGACGTACGATGTTGCCCACGGAGTGAAGTAAATGGCAAAAGGAACGATCGAAACAACATCTGCGGATATGATTACTATAAAAGCAGTTATACTACTTTAATTTGAGAAAGCCAAGAGCTGGTTCTGAGGTAATTAAATTGTGATCGGTTCGGTAATAATGGTGATTCTATTCGACGTAATGAAAGCTTTCGAAATTTTCGGACTTCACAATTTGCAACCTGCAAGAATTCGAGATTTCGAGACAAAGCCTATTGGACCGGTGCAAAAGTTTTAAGTTGGTTTTCTGAACCCTTTCGCATATCCCATAGATAAGGTAATTAATTAAACTTCAACGACCGATCCAGAATCTTCCTCTTTGCAGCATATAGGTTTGCGATGCGATGGTGATATTATATAATCGCCGAGGCTTGCAACCCTTCTTTTTTACCACGTCTTTCCGCCAATATTCAAAATTTGCATTTGACATCTTTGAGAGAGCTTTCATACCAGAAAACAGGGAAACCTTTGTAGAGTTAAATCATAATCTTATGGCTAGTTTTTCAGAATTTTTCGAACATATTCGATCTGTTCTAACCTTGTAAAATATGGTATAGTAAACAGTTCGACAATCCTAGGCAACTTATTCGCCTGTTTTTGCGATATACACCCACTGCCTTTATTATGCACTTGCGAAATCTGCAGACAAAACTGCTGAGTTTTACAATTACGTGAGCGCACTGTTGCAATCTAACAAAACCCAAGGCTTCTGCAAAATTACTTAATAAGATGTTGACAAGGAAAATGGAGAACTTTGAAAATGAATTGACTGATTTACAAAGTATTCGTCATGTTTGCTACCACCAGCTTTTCAAAAGTAAAAAAAAATTCTGAATATTAGGCATGAAGTGAAAGTGAAGGATAGCAGAGGATAGCAGACTTTTACGATAATCTTGGCGCTAAAACAATCGCATCGCGAACGTAGCTGCTGGAAGGGGAAGAAATTCTGCATCGGCTTCTGCATCGAGCATCATTTGGAATGTCTGTTTATCTTTATACTGGATTTGCCGGAAGGTTTGAAAACTGACATAACTTTTGCACTGACCTAATACATGTAGTATATTTTTGAACGTTCATGTTCAATTATACCAATTCTGTGGGTGCGGGCGCCGTTTTGTTTTATGCTGTTATTGCTTGTTCGTTTTATCAACGTATCCTGTGTCATCCATTTTGTCCTGCTAAATATTAGGTTGGTGCAAAAGTAATGCGCGTTTTTCTAGCCCTTATTTCAAGACAGCTTTTCTCCACCGAAGTTTTTCCTTTGAAACTTACACAGCATACTTCAAAGAAGCTTCTTTCATGCTCTATTCAACGGTGGTTGAAAGAAGCTTCTAGCCTCAATCGTTAAAAATTTATAGAGCTTCATACAACCGCACTCAAAACCAGAATTTCATTGCACTTACTTTTTTGGCCAGAATTTGAGCGCGAGTAAACGCATTCTTTAGAAAATTTAACTACTGTATGTAGTAGAAATTTTCTACGTTACGCATGCTTTGCTGTTTTCTCAGAAATTATTTAAACTGAGATTTCGGTGCTTCAGCATGAGCAGGGCTCGGCACGAGGTGGCTAGATGAAAATGGAAAAAACGAAGTCCCCCTTGACTTTTGGGAATTTTTATGAAGTCCCCTTTGACCCTCAACCAAATTTCCTCTAAAAACCTGAAAAATTCCCCAAAATCCCCCAAAAAACGAAACGTCGACTAAAAAAAAAGGTCGCCGTCGCCAATTTTCCGTGTCTCTTCGGTCACAAAAACAAAACCCCCCTTGCTTTTCGTCCCAAAAACGATATCCAGCTTGCTTGTAAGCCACCTCGTGCCGAGCCCTGAGCATGAGTGATGTTTTTGGCCATTCTGTGGCCCATAGATTTCCTTTGAAGAGGCAATCGCCAAAGTTTTGCTCATTCCTGTAAGCATAAGGGTGGACCTCCTGTTGACAGATTTTGCAGAAATGTGGAAGCTGTTCAGTACACAGAAAATCAAAAATCTCCATATTTTGGGATTTTGAGGGGTTCGAAAAAATGTCGAAAAAAGCGGACAATTTTGAATATAATTTTTTGATTTTCGCAAATCTTCTTTGTTTGAGCCCCCTTCAACTTTTATTTGTACTACTGGCTTGCGGCTACAAGACAGTCTACTTTTCATTTATACCAACAAATTTTGAAGGAAGTTATGATCAGTTAAAAACGAGGTTTCCGAAAAAAATTTTTTTGCTTATCAATCTATATTTTTTCACCATTTTGCGATGTCAGCATAAATTAATGTGCTCTGTATAGAGAGATGTTTGGTGCCTCTGATGGACTTTGTCGCGCTGAAAAATATGGATTTTTTGGAAAGTTATAGCACGTCAAAGTGAGAACTCGCAAAACGCGCATTACTTTTGCACCAACCTAATACCATAAATCATTTCATTTGCATGATCTTCTGAATTTTCATTGCAAACAGTTAATGATGCTGCTGCTGAATTGATTTATACTTTATACAATGTAACATGTAACGACATTATAATTTGTAGCGTTCCCTCTCATTGTCAGATTACAGAACGATTGATCAACTCATGCACAGATTATTCTCTGAAGTACAAACACAGCACCACTGAAGCCAGTGAGCTCCTTTTTAGGTTTTCTATAATTGAATATTTAGAGAATGCAACACTGCAATATGATACGAATCAAGAATGACAAAACTATCCAAAACACAAAAGTTTTTAGCATGCTGAGTTAAAACCGAACAAGGGTCTAAATGGGAGAGGAAAGAATTTACTTTTAGCAGGCTGAAAGGAGGATAACATTACAATGTATATGATGGACACCCCCTTTTGTACGAGTTTTCAAACTTTGATAACCTTACATTCCTTGGATAAGATGCGCTAAAAATGTTCAAATTCTGATTACGAATAGAAATATCCCAGGCATTTTTTGAAAACTAGAGAATTTCAAGATTTTCTGAGGCTATGAGCCGAAATGAAACTCTTAATAGCCTAAATCATGCACAATAATCCGAAATTATGTACGAATTGTTGCTAGAAGTTGACTTGAGTTTAAAGGCAAGTTGAGATTTGGCACCCTCACTAGGTCGAAAGAGCTGGGCCCGGCATAATTCATGCGATCTCAGCCGCGACACGATTTGGCAATACTCCAGCTGTTTATAACTCATCCTATGTGTAATTAATAAACAGTAGGTGGGGCATTTTATCGATTTGCGAAAGTTGTATATAGTTGTTGAAAGTTGAAAGAAGAGATCTGGCGGTTTTTCAGATCGCGTGGCGACTGAAATCGCGTGATTTACGCCCTAGGCCGTTCTGTAGGCAAGGCTGCTGGCAACAATCTTCAGTGATTGAGGAGTCAGAACCTCAAAGTATGTCGATAACTTACATAGTGGGATTATAGGGTGTTTGAAAAGTTTGCGGTCTCAAGTACTTCAATTGCGAATCCTAACTCATTTTTTGTTATATGTGTCCTCTGGATTTAGAAAACACCGAGTCAACAAAGAAAAATATTTTTTGCCTCAAGATACCTCAAAAAATTTGGAAGCAAACGAATTCTTCAGCTTCCTTGAAGAGGCGAAAGAGTGCGTTATCTGAGTTGTTTTGCTTTTTCCAACGCCGGAAAACGGAGACAGCTTCCCGTTCCTTCTGACTACAAGTAGTCTTAAGTTTACTCTCTCTCTTTATTTAACAAAAGCTCCTCAACAGTTTGCGAACAAAAAAAATTTTTGTGTGCTAAATTACAGCAGACAATCATGGCACAAATTTGCGCCGAAATTTTTTCGGTTTGAAAAATTTTTGAAGTCTCATTTGTATCGTCTATACCCCAGAGCATAGCGGACGGAGCTTTGCCAACGTCTCCAACTATGTGCGTGAAAGTTTTTGATAGCTAGAGAGTACAAAGACTAATGCTTTAGAATGGAGGTTTAACAAGTTCTCAACGTGTTCAAATGTTCTGCAGGGCCACGTCTGATATACGCATGGGAGTCGCCTATATTTGTAGCGCAGCTTTTTGGTCTTCACTGTGTCAATCTTCAAAAATTTTGCACTCTTGTGGAGGTTTAAAATACAAAATATAAACATTTCGGTGCTAGATTTGTTGACGAAAAAATCCCAAAACTGCTTCTCTTGTATTTCAAGGAACGGTATCTCACAAGAGAAGGATGATCGGTCGAAGTGGCCATTTGGAATGAACTGTATATTAGGAAACCGTCCTCGGTAAGGCAAACTCAAAACTACTTTCGCTAGGTACCGAGCGGTTTTGTGGGGGAGTTACAAGGCCATTTTCCTCCGGCGCGCCCAGTGATGAGCGAGGCGCTAGAGTAACGCAGCAGTGGCGCAGTGGCAACGCAGCGGACTGCGAAGAAGATGGTCGAGGGTTCGAGTCCTGTTGCTGCTACTTTGTTTTGCAGTTCTGTAAAAAGTCTATTGAGTGACAGTAAACGAAAAATACTCATTTCTAGGCAGTTGAAACAAGCTATTTACTGCAAAAAACTCACTATTTTTACAATAAGCTATAATCTTCTACAATATGTAAATCTGTGGAGGTTATGATGTCACAACAATGGATTCAAATGATATATTAACATGTATGGAATACGACCACAAAATGCTCAAAGCAGAAGAGCTTCTCGCAGCGCGCACATCGGATAAAATATAAACGATGACAATTAGCACTTCCACAAATGCCTATCAAAGTCGGTGAAAAACAGTACTGAATAGGAGACTCGAATTTGCCGGGGTGGTTATCAATGTATCTGGCTGGCGAGAACATCGTAATGATTGACAGCGGAGCTTTTTACTATATGCGCATACTTGGCACTTGCCTTGACCTGCGTGGTCCTGCCTTGACAGGTAATAAAGCTGCTGATTGCAGTCGATTGCAATTTTGCAAGTGCGCGCGCTGCGAGAAGCCTTCTGCTTTGGGCATTTTGTAGTCGTATTCCATACACGTTAATATATCATTTGAATCCATTGTTGTGACATCATAACCTCCACAGATTTACATATTGTACAAGATTATAGCTTACTGTAAAAATAGTGACTTTTTTGCAGTAAATAGCTTGTTTCAACTGCCTAGAAATGAGT